GGTGGTGGGGGGGTGGTGGTGTTCATGGTAGTGGTGGGGCAAAAACAACTCCCTATTTCGGGGGTGCCGGATGGTAATGCTGTGGTGGATGTGAGCAATGCCATGGAGGGATGGACAATTCCAATAAGCTATACCCTTCATGGTGCATTGTAGCCACCACAAGTGGCCAAATTGGGGCTCTGGACAGGTGCGAGGGGATGGTACCCCCACTTTCAATTCACCTACTCCTAAACTACGTGAAAAATATCGTACTAAGTTTGTACTGAAAGCTCCGGGGAGACCGGCGTCTATGACGTCTCCTGGCCAAATCCTATTTGGCGGAGCCAGGAGATTGAATCCTTACCCTTGGAGTTCCTCTAGAAATGGCAAAAAGTCATTGCGGGTGGCCACGTGGAATGTTTGAATGCTCACTGCGGAGAAGAAGCTGCCACTCCTCTGTCAGGAGCTGGCCCGGTACTCCCTGGATTTCTGCCGTATTCAGGAGGTCCGGTAGACTGGCTCTGGCTCCAATCACCATGAGGGGTGGACAGTCCTCTACTGGGGGCAGGAGACTGCAAAGCAACAGAGAGTGGCTCTTCTTGTGAACGAAAGAATGAAGAGGGCGTGGGAGTGTGGCTGGGAGGTGTGGGAAGCTGTAAGCCCCAGTCTCCTGTGGGCTCGCCTCCCCATCAACCAGAGGCAAGGAGTGGTGGAGGTGGTTGCTTATGCCCCCCCGAAGATCAGTGGAGGGATGCAGTCAAGGCCAATGAGTTAGATGCCTTTTATGACCTCCTGTCGCAGTCGCAGCATTATCTATTCCTCGGCTGCGTAATACTGGAAGCTAACTTGTCTGTCGCTCCACATGAAGCTTCGGGTCTTCTCGGCCACGGTCATGCCCTCCCTTCTCTATGCTTGCGAAACGTGGACCCCCCTATTAGAACATCTTCACCGGTTAGAAACATTTAGGCTGGTCTGCCTACGATCCAGCCTGGGTTTAACCAGGGCTGGATTATGTGAGAAGCTCACTAATCCTCGAAAGATGTGGACAAAGTCCCATCGGTGAGCTCCACCAGCAGGTAAGGCTGCATTGGCTGGGTCATTTAGCCCGCGTTCCCAGCCACCGCATGCCAAAACAGCTTTTGTTCGGCTGGATAGAGGGGGCTAAACAGGCGGCACAGGCTAGAGAAAAGATGGAGTGATGTGGTAGAAGAGGATGTGGAGCTGAGTGGACTTGCCGACGACTGGTAACACCAGTGTCGAGATGGGCCTCTGGAAGAGGCTCGTGATGGACAATAGAGGGCAGAGAAGCGGCGCTGACAACAACGAGCGGAGCCTTGGGGGGCTAAAATGCAGTCAGCGGGCGTTCGACACTTCACGTGGCCTTAAAGTATACATAGCCTGGCACAAGCCACTTATTGGCGAATGCTGGTTGTTAGTGAAGGGGCTTGTAGTGGTGGTGGTGATGGGTGGTGGAGGTGGTGGAGTTGGTTGCGGAAGTGGTTCTGGTGGTGATGCGGTAGTGGTGGTGGTTGTGGTGGTGCTGGAGTTGGTGGTGGCATTTCTGGCTTTGGCCACAATAGCATCTCTGGTCTTCCCCAGGTAAAGGGCAACGTAAGCAACGTCTCCATGGAAATACCCTCACAATTTCAACATCATCTGCAGCATCATCAGCAGCATCATCAACATCATCAGCAGCATCAGCAGCAACAGCGTCCGCAACATAATTATCAGCTGCAGGTGCGTGGCCACACGCGGGGCCGTCCTATGGCGTCGCCGCGAACGTTATCATCATCATCGGCGCCGGCGCCGGCGTTCGCCCCGTTCTGCGCGATGCGCGTCGTGCCCCTGGACTGCAAGATGGTGGAGATGGTGGCGCAGGACGGGCGCCCGCTCTCGTGCGTGCGCGACGCGGGCTTCCGCCGCCTGCTGGCGCACCTCTCCCCGGGCTACCGGCCCGGCTCGCCGGCGCTGCTCGCCGAGCGGGTGGTGCCCGACGTCCTGGCGGCGCTGCGCGCCCGGCTGCTCTGCCTGCTGGGCAGCGCCCGCAGCGTCGCGCTGTCGGCCCGGAACGCTGCGCGCCGGCGACGGGGAGCCCTGGCTACTGATGGCGGCCCACTGGCGCCAGCAGCAGCAGCAGCAGCGCCGGCGGCAGGGTTGCCGGCGCCGCGCGCTGGTGCGCTGCGCGCCCACCGACTTCGCGCCGCCGCGCGCCGCCGCCGTCGCCAAGGAGCTGCAGAAGGCGATCTTCTGGGGCGTGCGGCGCGTGTCCGTGCTGCTGGTGTGCGGCGGCGGCGGCGCCGGCGATTTCGCCGACGACGCGGAGGCCGTGGGGAGCGCGGAGGAGCTGGCGCGCGAGGCGTCCGCCCTGGCGGCGCTGCCCGCGGCGCCGTGCGCGTCGCACCTCCTGCGCGTCGCCGTCGCCCGCGGAGCGTTGGCGCTCGCGGCCACGGAGCGGCTGCTGCTGGCAGCTGCGCGGGCGGCACGCCGGCCGCGGAGACGCCGACTCGCGACCCCCACCCGCCGGCGCAGCGGGCCTCGCCGGCGGGTGGACGAGCGCGTACCGGCTGCTGCGTTCCGCTTCGGCGCGCCGGCACAAGCAAGGCGGCGGCGCGACCAGCACGAACTGGAGCTCTCCGCGTCTATCGGCGAGCCAGGAGCGGCTGCTGCAACTGCTGGCGCTGCTGCTGCGGCCCGTGGCGGAGGTGGCGCGGGAGCTGGCACGCCCCGACGCCACGCTGGGCGCCGCCATCCCCCTGCTGCGCGTGCTGCTGCGCTCACTGGCGGCGGGGGCGCCGGCTTCGTCCGGGGAGCGCCGGACGCTGGCCGCGGACGACGCCCGCGGCTCCGGCGGAGGCAGCGCCGTCGAGGAGGAGGAGGACGAGGAGGAGGGTCTGCGCGCGGGGCTGCTGGCGCCGCTGGGCCGCGCGCTCGAGGCCCTGGAGTCGTGCCGCTGCGCCGCGCTGGCCACCGTCCTCGATCCGCGCTTCAAGTGCGCCTTCTTCTCCGGCGACGGCGCCGCCGCCCGCGCCCGCGCCTGGCTCCTCGAGGACGCCGGCGTTGGCGGCGGCGACGACGGCGACGACCGCGACGGCGCCGGGCACGGCGGAGCGGCGCGCTGCAGCGCCGGCGGCTCCTCGGAGATTTGGAGCCGCTTCGAGGAGGTGATCGCGGAGCACCGGCCGGCCGGCGCACGCCTCTCCCCGGCGGAGGAGGTGACGGTGTACCTGCTGGAGCCGCCGGTGGAGCGCACGCGGTGTCCGCACGCCTGGTGGGGCGCGGGCGACGGAGCCGAGGACGCTGCCGGTGCCGCCGCCGGCGCGTTCGCCGGCGGCGGCGGCGATTGCGGCGGCGGCTCCAGGTTCCCCCGTTTGGGCCGTTTGGCTCGGCGGTTGTTGGCCGCGCCGCCGACATGCGGTTGCGGTGACGGTGACGGCGAGGAGGACGATGGTGGCGGCGTTGATGACGGCGGTGACGGCGGCGACGGTGGCGGCGACGACGCCGGCGACTGCGTGTGGGGTCAGCGAGTGCCGCATTCGTGGCACGGCGAGCTCGGAGCGGCGCTCCTGGTGATCCGGCACGGGCTGCCCGCCGTGGACTACGCCTACTGAGTCGGGCAGAGCGCGCCGGTGCCCGGCACCGGGAACCCGGCGCCGGTCTCGGGCCACCGCGATTTTTGCCGCATTTTGGCGAGGCCGGTGTCGCCAGAAAGTGTTGGCGGCTCTGGCTCCGTTTCGGCTCAACGGCACGCCGGAAGAAGCGCCCGCAGCCTGCCATGCCGGCTTGGCTCGGACGCTGTGCCGGTGGGGAAAGTGGAAATCAGACCAAAGCAAATATTCACCCGCCATGTCGCAACTCGGCGGGGCCTTACCGGGTGTAAGATAAATGTAATCGTTTTAACTGTGCCGCTATTCCACCGGTTTTAACGGGCGTGGGGAGAGTCATTCAAAAGCTTGGAGATTCGTTTTTATTCATACAATCGCAGTGGCGGTGTTTTTGAGTTTTTGTTTAGTTTTCCCCTTGCCACCTTATTAATAATAGTAATCCGCTAATGGTCCCGGTGCTGCTTATGTGGTCTAACATATACAACGGCACGGCAGCTTTGACGGCTTGAAAATAATACAGAAGATAGGCCTAACTTTTTGCGTGCTCTGGTCTAACACCGTTTGAGAGGAGGCTCTAAAGAAAGCTGTCTCTGGTGTGAACCAATCAGTTTCAAGGACAATGCATATATTATCGGTGTTTTTTTTTTTTGCATTCTGACCACAAGCATTGTGGTTAATGCAGACATGATTCCTTGTAAAAGGTTTCAGTTTGGTCTTTTAACATCTTAACACAACTGTTTTGTTGCCAGAAAAAATGGGAAGAAACTATTATCATCGGCCTAACTTGTTTGTGTGCATCTCTTCTGACAGCAGCTGTTCACAGTTGCCTCCGTCACCTACTTTCTAACATTGATCTCGCTATCGTTATTGTATTATCATTGTTTTTTAATATATATGACAGCAATTGTAATACATATATACAGCCCTTTGTCGTTGCACTGCTTGGATGATGGTGTCCCCCACCACTGTCTGGTTGTGAATTGGGGGGGGTGCTTTGACCATACTTCACCGAGCCAGTCGGTGAGGATTGGTGGAGCCGGGAGTTGGAGGTCGAAGCAGCCTGTGGCTGGGAATGGAACATGGGCGTTACCGGCCCGCATAGCGGCACTGTGCTCTTCACTGCATGACCGCCAACGTAGCTTACGGCTGTTGTGAAATTTTATGGACGGTACAAAAAAAGACAGATCCCCCATGTAGCCTGAACAGGCTGTTGGGGCAAGTGCTGTTAGCGAGTAGCACCTGTGAAGGCCGGCACGGCACACGAAGGGGGGGGTGGGTGGCCAGCACCACGCTCGGCCACCTTTGTCTCCCTCTTGGTCGTGCTTACATGCCGCACCAGGAACATTACTCATTTTAGGCCGAGTCTACCCTAGGGGAGTCCCAGGACCAGTTCAAATAACCCTGACTGGTGTTGGCCGTGAGCGGGAATTGAGCTCGGATTGCCGGGTTCGATGATGATCTCAGTGGGCCTTGCCTGGTAAAATAAAAATAGTTTGGTAGTGCAGCGCGCTCACCGCTACACGACCACTCGCCAATGATACAAGTCACACACACACGCATTTGTTCTGTGAAAAACGTGAAGGGAGCCTTTGAGACTCGGCGAGGCTTTCCGGGGCAAACGGGCGTCACGACATTGATGAATGCACGACGTTCCCCTCCAGGATTAACAATGGGTCGGTCAAGTTTTATTTCAACACTTTGTAACACGCAAGCCTGTCGAGAAACTTACCATTTCGCAAGCAAAACCAAGAGCCGTTCCGTAAGCAGTACGCATGGTCTGGTGCCACTCGCTATGCCCCCTTGGGAAAGGTCTCGGAGTCATCTGGGATCGAATCCCGCCTCTCCATCTGGTCGCTGACCCAGAATCTCATTCTACTCGCGACCGAGTCCTCTGCACCAATGCCTCGAGTACTGTGACTCTGCGTACTGATTGGCACCAACAACAACAACCGCCATTCGCCACAATAATGGCGGTTGTTGTGATTGGCACCTAATACTCACCCACTGACTCATCTACTCGGGATCTTCTCTGCGTATGTGCCTCTCGTACTGCGGCGACGTGGATCGAGTGGCACTCCGCAACTCGCCAGCTCCCCACTCACTTCCGCACTCAAAGCCCCCTCTTCCTGCGGATCCGGAGCCGCACGCGGTGGCTCTTGAAAGATGCTGCATCGTGACGTCACTTGTTAAGGCCCGCCGGCTCGTATTCAGCGCTCAACGAAGTGGTGACTTATCGCCACGTGGAAATTTATAGCAGCATCCAAATACTCTGAACGTCTGACGTTGATTCTATAAGTGAAGGGAAAAACCGGAGGAAAATCCACGTGACCACGGGCAGAGAGAGAACACGCAAACTCCAAATATACAGTTTAACACGTCGGCTTTTGCGACCAATATCCATGAAAAGTTTTGTTGGGTTAGATCGCGTAAATATATAAATGTGTCGTTTAAACCCGCCACCACCCGACACAGCCAACCAGTGAGGGTTGTCACGTAAACAGAACGTGGCCAATTCGTCACTCGTACAGCACTAGTGTATAGTGCAGTATATAGTAGTGTATAGTGTAGTGTATAGTGTATTGTAGTGTAGTGTATAGTGAAGTGTATAGTAGTGTAGTGTATAGTGTAGTGTATAGTGAAGTGTATAGTAGTGTAGTGTATAGTGTAGTATACTCGTACAGCACACCGGTGTGTGTTGGAGAGCCAAGCCACAACATTTACAATCTGAGTACTGTGACGTTTTGCCAGTAATCACAACCAGCTTCATCAGGCGACAGCCAGAGTTGTTGTGACTTGGCTCTCCAACACACCGGCTAGTGCTGTACTGGTGACGAATTGGCCACGTTCTGTTTACGTGACAACCCTTACGAGTTGGCTGTGTCGAGTGGTGGTGGGTTTTAACGACACATTTACGCGATCTAACCTCAAAAAACCTCTTCCAAATATACAGCAGCAGGCGTCAGGCTCGGGATTGAACCCACGACCTCCTGTATACCGTGCGAGGTAGCTAACATCTCGCCACCTGCCCACTAACCTGTGCCCCGACACCACGACCGTCTTGACTGCGATCCATGTCTCGGCTCTGTCGAGCACCCAGTAAACAGGAATTCTCTCAACTCACAGCGACTTCAGTTTAGCAGCAAACGGACAACAACAGGAGGCTGAGACCTTGATGATAACAATGCTGAGTGTTGAGTGGCACCCTAATACACGCACACACGCACACATATATATAAATAATAGACAATTTATATCATCGGAAATGTATGATCTGTATATTCTATTTTCTAGTACAACATCGAGTGTTGTCATGTCACATGGATATGTACACGAGCAGATAAACTAAAACTACGATCAACTTTTTATTTTACCAGATAAGTCCCACCGAGTTCTGTAGCTCGTTTTCAGAAGCGACCTGGCCACCACAAATGTTGATAGCTCAACGAAGTGGCTCATCATCATCAGCAGCATCGTCGTCATCGTGTGGAAGTGTATGGCCGCAGTCAAAGACTAAACGCGTGACGTTGAGTCTAAATGTGGAAGGAAAAACCGGACCACGGGGAGAGGGAGACACGCAAACTCCAAATATACAGCAGCAGCAGGCATCGCCAGGGTCGGGATCAAACCCACGACCTCCTGCACACCAGGCGAGGGAGTTAACATCTCCTAGCCGCACCGTGGCGCTCTGGAGGTGGACGGGAGGAGGCTCGTTTTGTCCTGCGAGCGCTGTGGGTTTTGTTTTGTCTCCCCAGTTTCTGGGTAGTAAAAACGCTTTGACCGGTCACGCTTTCCCCCGCACCTCATTGCGTAGCTCAGTTGGCTACGTACGGTGCGAAAGAAGTGCAACGTGCATGCGTACATCCGTCATCGTGACCGCTTTCCTCCAGGGCTGAGTCCCGAACAGCAACGCAACTTGACCCTACCCCCGTGATAGACAGATGGGTACAAAGACAAAGATCCCACGTATAGCCTGAACAAACTTTTGGGGCAAGTGCTGTTTGCAAGTAGCAGCGCCTATGAAGGCTGTCATTGCACACGAGGGGGTGGGTGGCCAGCAACCACGCCAGGCCACCTTTGTCTCCCCAGTGGCGATGTTTACTACACACCGCAGGTGCTCATTTGAGGCCGAGTCGACCTAGGGGAGGCCCAGGACCGGTTCAGATAATCATCACTGGTGTTAGCCGTGAGCGGGAATCGAACTCGTGTGGCCGGTTTCGTAGCGCAGCGCGCTCACCGCTGCACCACCACTCCTAACACGCACAAAGACAAAGATCCCCCCACATAGCCTTCACGGACTGTTGAGTCAAGTGCTGTTAGCGAGCACCCTCCACACAAAGACAGACACCAGTAACCGACATTCACCACGAAGCGACGGTGACGTCGTGGTGCTTGTGTGCCAGGCCAGGTGCACTTTGAGGCCACGTGAAGTGTGGAAGGCTCGCTGACAGGTGACGGGACAGACCCAGGTGCCATGGGTTGACTGACTGAGATGATTGGCCGATGCACCACCTGTGCCCCCTACTGCCTGGTGCTTCGCTCGTGAGCGTCGCTCCTCTACCCTCCGTTGTCATTGGAGGGCGACTGCCTCCAACTGCCCAGTAGCGTCCTTCACGAGCCTCCTCCACGGAGGCCGATCTTGACGCCGCTGGTACCAGTCATCGGCAAGTCCGCTCAGCTCCACGTCCTCCCGTACCACATCACTCCATCTCTTCTCCAGCCGGTGTCGTGCCAATTGAAACGGGCACACGCAGACACACGACACAGCGATAATGATTTTCTACAGGGCAAGCCCGCTAAGGGCAACACAACTTTTACGCGAGGGATTCCGGTTCACGTCAGTCCGTCTAAATGAGAGCCAGCGCGGTCCCACGTCACGCACAGACGGACGGACGGACGTACGGAGCTAACGTGTTTGAGACTCCGCGTCGCCGTTGACGACAGACAGGCTGTTGACGAGCCGCTGCAGATCCCCACGCTCCGCCTCCAGCCTAACCTCCGCCTCCGGCAGGCCATCCACGTCCACCAAACTTCCACCCAGCTCGTCCCGGAGGCCCCGGCTGTCCTCCATCTCGCGCCGCGCCTCGTTGATCAGCACCCCCATGGGGGCCGCGTAGTCCGGATCCCGGCCCTCGCCGGTGGAGGAGGAGCTAGCGCCGAGGTCCTGGTAGTCCGGGTAGAGAGAACCCCTCCGCCGATGGACTATGGAGTTGTCCACCATGCTGTCGACGATATCGTCTGGAGCTGCAGGCAAAGGGACGATGTATGTGTGTGTATGTTGAACTTCATTTGCACCATGCATAGCCAATTGTCCTCATCAGATGAGTGGGGGAAAGCCAAACAAACTCAACACAAAAATAAGTTCAAAAGAAATCGGTTTTCAATCTGGGTCGTTGTGTGAGTCGATGGGTCTCTGTGGGAGTCGATGGGTCTGTGTGTGAGTCTATGGGTCTGTGTGCGAGTCGATGGGTCTGTGTGTGAGTCGATGGGTCTCTGTGTGAGTCGATGGGTCTCTGTGTGAGTCTATGGGTCTCTGTGTGAGTCGATGGGTCTGTGTGTGAGTCGATGGGTCTCTGTGTGAGTCGATGGGTCTCTGTGTGAGTGACTGGTGACCAGTCTGAGACCGCCAACTCACTGCACTTCAGAATCTCCGTGGTTGGGGCTGAAACCCGGAGTGGAACCCAGCCTCTTGGTGTTGCGGGCTCAGCGGCATCAGCGGCTACCGCCCCATCTCTCTTCTCCCCGATGTCTCCCGACTCTCCGAATGCCCGGTACGCTCTCGTCTTTCCCACTCCTCATCTTCTTCTAACTCTCTCTAGCCCCAGTTCCAATCTGCTTCTCGTCCCTCTCACCCGGAACGGCTCTTGGGCTCACAGTCACCTGGCTACCTGCTCACGCCGCTGGCCTCTCCTGGCGGCACACTCGGGGGTGGTGATGGTGCCTTGGCAACTGCGACACCCAACCGCGGGAACTCCTTGCTCCTTCAGGGTCAAAGGGACGTCCCAGACACTCGCAAATCTTCACATCTCGACGGAGAACGTATCGGTTCAACACGGCTCTTTTTGATTTAAAGCTTTCGTGACTGCAGGGATTCACCTTCTTGGTTCTTTCGGTAAAGTCACGTAGAATGGAAATAATAAAATAATAAAAATAAAACATACTAAAATAATTATTTTATTATGTTTTATTTTTATTACTTTATTATTTCCATTCTATGTGACTTTACCGAAAGAACCAAGAAGATGGCTCTCTTTGGTTCTTTACAAACTTCTTCGTCACTTTTTCTTTACTTGGTTGTTAACTATTTTCTGCCTTTCCGCGCTAAGCACCCTTTATACATTTACATTATTATAATACTCGTGGACCCGTCCTCACGGTCGACCACCCCAGACTCTCCTCTCTCTCTTCTCTCGGCATCTGCTGTGGCACACCGCTCTCTGGCGACACTCCCATCTCTCTCTCTGCGGTCTCATTCAATCATTGCCACTTCCCTCTCCGCCCCCCCCCCCCCCTGTACACTGCCGCTGTTCCCCAATTCTCTGTTCTTGGTTCCCTAAATTGTATCTCTCCATCTCACCACTCGCAACGTTGCCTTTTCTCTCTTCAGTTATTTTCTTCGCCGAACTTTCCCCCAGACGCCTCTTAACGGACGGCATCCAAAATGTTCTCCTTCGCCCCCGACTCCGACTCCGCCTCTGGCAGCCGGCCTCATCTCTCGATGCAATCTTGGGCGTCACGTCTCTCTCCATAGACCCTTCACAAAACTCAAATTCTCTCTTCCCCCAAACTCCCGTTCCCCTCCTCCGTTCTCTTCCCCTCCTTTTTCCAGTTCCCCTCTTTCCTCAGCCCGCACCCTTCCTTGGTGTCACCTTCGACTCTTCCCTCACCGATCGCAACTCCGCCACGACCCCTGCTTGCCGGTTCCACCTCTGCTGCGAAACTCCTCATCCATTCCCTTATGCGTACCCGTCTGGACGACCGCGACTCTCTTACCCTTGGTCTCCCCATTTACTCTTCAACAAATCCCAAACAACTCTGCCCGGATCATATTCGACCATTCGCTACAGTTCCCATACCCCGACCCTCCTCGTGCAACTGCACCGGCACCCCGTCTCCTGCCTGTTCCTCACGCTGCTCTACACCCGTCCCTGCGTGGCCTAGCCCCCCCCCCCCCCCACCGCATCTTGTCACTCTTGAATCTCTCTGTGTCGTCTTCTCTCTCTCCTCCCCCACCCCCTTCACTGGAACAAACTCACCCCTCCACATCACCTGCGCTCACTGTTTCCGCTCCTCACTCAAAAACTCACGGTTCCCTAGTCCACCCCACGGCCCCCTCAATATCTCCCTCATGACCACCGCCATCACTCATCAACCCCGTTCATTCAATCCATTCATCATCGATTGTCATCAATTTCGCTTTCACCGACTCCCCGCATCATCACAGTTGTGCGCTCCCTCACTCTCGTCTATGCGCCTCACCTTCCACCGTTACATTCACACACGCGGCGTTGTCACGCGGCGTTGTCACGCAGCGTTGTCATTGTGCCGTTGTTAATTCTCCGCAAGGGGCCTCGATTAGGCGCCGTGTAAACGACTTTCTCAGAGAACCGGCTCGGCACCACTGGCGCCGAGCCACTCCGGGGGGCGCCTCCAGACGCACGGGCAGGGAAACTCACCACCACCGTCGTCGTCGTCGTAGTCGTCGTCGCTGGGCATCAGCTCGCTCATCTCGGCCCTGACGAGGTCATCCAGGAGGTTGGGGAGGGTGAAGACGTCGCTGGCGTCGTCCACGGCCGCCTCGAAGATCCTCTCCACCGCCTCGTCGCCATCGTCGCCGCCGTCGCCGCCGTCGTCGCGAGGGAAGAGCACCGCATAGTCCTCGTCGGGAGCCTCCACAAACACGTCGTCACCCTCGTAGTCGCCCTCCGTCGCCACGGCGCCTGCCTCGGTCCCCGCGGCGCCACCCTCCGTTGCCATGGCGCCACCCTCCGTCGCCGTGCCACCACCCTCGGTCGCCATGGCGCCACGCTCAATCGCCGTGCCACCATGCTCGGTCGCCATGCCGCCACCCTCCGTTGCCATGGCGCCTCCCTCGGTCCCCGCGGCGCCACTCTCCATTGCCATGGCGCCACCCTCCGTTGCCATGGCGCCACCCTCCGTTGCCATGGCGCCACCCTCCGTTGCCATGGCGCCACCCTCGGTCGTCATGGCGCCGCCCTCCGTTGCCATGGCGCCACCCTCGATCGTCATGGCGCCGCCCTCTGTTGCCATGGCGCCACCCTGCGGAGGGGAAGGGAATGGCTTATCCAGCCACTGCCGCATCTTCAAGGCCCTGGGTTCTGCCAGAATTTCGCCACGCTCAGTTGACAGGGGGTGACACGGGGGGGGGGGGGTGACGGGGGGGTGGGGGTGACGGGGGGGGGGTTCCATCCTTTCTGACGCGTTGGGCTACAGACGGTGCTCTGTGTCATGGGAATCGGCGTCACGCGTTTAAAAATAACAATTCCATTTATGTCGCGCCTTTCATCAAGAAAGCGCTGCATTGGACACAGCTGCAGCAGACGGCATCAAAATAAATATATTAGAAATACATTCTAAGAATCAATTTACCAAATGAACTAAAAGTTTAAAAAGCGGAAGTATCTAAGTAGGTTTTAGGACCCATTTCTAAAATGTTCACCGACTCTGAGAGAGATCTCCTCCGATAGCTCGTGGAAGATCGTTCCGTAGCCTGGGGGCTACACGAATGCAGAGAGAAGATCTGCCCCAACACCCTAGGGGCCTTGATGGGTGCAGCACATACATGATGTCGGCTGCGTAAGATGGTTCACTGATTTGTAGGTTAATAGGATTTTAAACTGGATTTTGTGTGAAACTGGAAGCCAGTGCAGGGAGGCCATAGCGGGTGTAATATGATGTGAACAAGGTGGTCTGCTGAACACACGAGCAGCCGCATTCTGAACATTTGACTATTGCAATACATAGCTCAACCACTTGGTTGAGCTATCATTTATGATGGCAAGGCACTTCTGAAAAAAAAAATGTAATAGTTTAGTTTAGATGGAAAGCATTGGACTGGTTTTAACTGCACTGGTTTTAACTGCACTGGTTTGGACTGCAGCTGGTTTGGACTGGACTGGACTAGTTTGGGCAGGACTGGACTGGGCTGGACTATGGACTGGACTCCACTAGTTTGGACTGGGACTGGTCTGGACTGGTCTGGACTATGGACTGGACTGGACTAGTTTGGACTGGACTGGACTGGTCTGGACTATGGACAGGACTGGGATGGGCTGGACTATGGACTGGACTCCACTAGTTTGGACTGATCTGGACTATGGACTGGACTAGTTTGGACTGGACTGGTCTGGACTATGGACTGGACTCCACTAGTTTGGACTGGACTGGTATGGACTGATCTGGACTATGGACTGGACTAGACTAGTTTGGACTGGACTCCACTAGTTTGGACTGGGCTGGTATGGACTGATCTGGACTATGGACTGGACTAGACTAGTTTGGACTGGACTCCACTAGTTTGGACTGGGCTGGGCTAAGCTAAGCAGGCTCGCACCTGGTCCGCCTCACGGAGTCGCTGCGGCGTGACGCTCGCCACGAGCCCCTCAGAGTCCGTTCCGTTGTGGAACGAGCCAGCCACGTCAGGCTCCTTCCACTGCTGCTGCTGCTGCTGCTGTGACATCGTCTGCGAAGGCATCAGCGTCATCAGTGGACGGTGGTGCTGGATGAGGTGGGGGGAGTAGTGAGGGAGATGAAGACACTTGGTGTGTGAGTTCATGCACAGCAGCAGCAGCAGCCAGTCGCCACGAGGTAGCGGTGACGTCGCCACAGCACTCGTGCCAGGCACGGGTGCCGTGGTGGGGAGATGTTGACTACCTCGCCTGGTATACAGGAGGTCGTGGGTTCGATCCCGACCCTGACGCCTGCTGCCGTGTACTTGGAGTTTGCGTGTCTCTCTCTCATCATCATCACGGTGGCTAGGAGATGTTAACTACCTCGCCTGGTCTACAGGAGGTCGTGGGTTCGATCCTGACCCTGACGCCTGCTGCTGCTGTATATGTGGAGTCTGCGTCTCTCTCCTCGTGGTCACTGCGTGGATTTTTCTCCGAGTCCTCCGGTTTTCCCCTCCACATTTAGAATCAGCGTCACGCGTTTAGAGTAGATGGCTACTGCTAAAAATTTGAACGTGATGATTATGATGCTGTTTATCCAATTTCGTTGAGCCGTAATTTGTGATCGGTCGCTTCTGAAAAATAACTACGCAGCTCAATAGTGAGGCCTTAGCTGGTAACAAAAGAAGAATGTGAAACAGGTTAATCGTTTTTAACGCACTCGTGACACACTCTGACGGACACGCGGAATTTGCCGTACAGATTATTACCGCGGCTACACAAACAGCGCTCGTTGATATCCGGGATGTGAATCTTGAAATCTCCGGAACGTGTCCAGAGCAAAAACAGGGGTGGTCCAGATGTCTTGTGATCATCCCCACATTTAAATTAGAGCCCTCACAATTATGTTTTATTTCCTTTGCTTATTAAAAATACATTTACAAATCGTTCTGCGTCTCTGACACGACCACTATGAACCTCCTGAGAGACACAGACCCAGAGATTGAACCCAGCATCTCTCAGCTGCGATGGTCTCTGTGTCTCTGACACGGCCATTATGAACGTGACACTGCTATTATGAACCCCTGCGACACATCAAGACACACAGACCCAGGGATTGAACCCATCATATCAATACCCTCAAATACACAAATGTCTTATCAATGCCCCCATGCCCTTATCAATATCCCAACGCCCTTATCAATGCACCAATGCCCGTATCAATGCCCCCACAATGCCCACCTGTCAATACCCCACCATGCCCTTATCAATGCCCCCATGACCTTATCGATGCCCCCATGACCTTATCAATGCCCCCATGACCTTATCAATACCCCAATGCCCTTATCGATGCCCCCACCATGCCAACCTGTCAATACCCCACCATGCCCTTATCAATGCCCCCATGACCTTATCAATGCCCTCACCATGCCCACCTGTCAATACCCCACCATGACCTTATCAATGCCCCCATGACCTTATCAATGCCCCCATGACCTTATCGATGCCCCCACCATGCCCACCTGAGAGTGGGCGGTGTCGTCTCGAGTGCTCGGCTCAGGAGCGGCGTGGAGGAGGAGGAGAGGGAAGAGGAGGCAGAGGACAAGAGAGAGATACATGGTGGTGTGATGTGGGTGTTGGTGTGATGTGGGTGGTGTGGGTGGTGTGATGTGGGTGATGTGGGTGGTGTGATGTGGGTGGTAGTGTGATGTGGGTTATGGTGTGATGTGGGTGATGATGTGGGTGGTGTGGTGTGGGTGGTGGTGTGATGTGGGTGATGGTGTGATGTGGATGGTGGTGTGGGTGGTGTGGTGTGGGTGGTGGTGTGATGTGGGTGATGGTGTGATGTGGGTGGTGTGGTGTGGGTGGTGGTGTGATGTGGGTGATGTGGGTGATGTTGGTGGTGTGATGTGGGTGATGGTGTGATGTGGGTGGTGAAGTGGGTGGTGTGGGTGGTGGTGTGATGTGGGTGGTGTGGGTGGTGGTGTGATGTGGGTGATGTGGGTGGTTGTGTGATGTGGGTGATGGTGCTGGTAATTGTGTTGATGTGGGTGTTTGATGACGGTGATGTTAATGTCGGGGATGTTGAAGGTGGTGGTGATGGTGGTGATATTTAGTGATGATGATAATGGTGATGTAATGTTTATTTTGGCTACGTTGATTGTGATAATATAAATGAAGATGGTGATGTTGGTTGTGATATTAGTGATGGTGATATTGATCGTGATGATATTGATGGTTATGCTGCTGCTGTTGCTGATGAGGATGCTGCTGCTGATGATGCTGTTGCTGATGATGCTTTTGATATTTCTGATAATGCTGATTATGCTGAGACAGTTCGCTGATGCTGCTGTTGCTGATATTGCTGATTTTGCTGATGACGATATCGCTGATGATGATATCGCTGATGATGATGTCGCTGATGATGATGTTGCTGATGATGATGTTGATGATGATATCACTGATGATGATGTTGCTGATGATGATGTTGCTGATGATGATGTCGCTGATGATGATGTTGCTGATGATGATGATGTTGCTGATGATGATGTTGCTGATGATGATGAGGATGCGGTTGCTGATGATGATGTTGCTGCTGATGATGATGAGGATGATGATGTTGCTGCTGATGATGTTGCTGATGATGATGTTGCTGATGATGATGATGTTGTTGCTGATGATGATGAGGATGCGGCTGCTGATGTGAGGAGGAGATGAGACAGGACCAAGAGCTGCAGCGAAAGAGGGGCGGACCAATAGGAATCGATCCACATATTCCCTTACTTGGACACCAACCTATCGATTCCCATTGTTTCCAATGGCAAAAAAATTTCCTCTGCTGAACTGATTCATTAAAATAAGAATTTTTAACGATTCTTCGATATTCGATTCCACCTCCGCTGGATTCCAACGCTGTAGCTTCAATTGCGCAGTCGATTCCAGTGCGCATCAATTCCGGTGTTTCGATTCCACTGGGGATTTACGATCTCATCGATTCCACCAATCACCGCCAGCAGCATCATCACTGCCACCCATGGTCCATCCACTGCTGGATGGAGGCAGATGATCTTCAGTAACGCGTTCGGTTTGTGCGGCCATGAATCCGATTCAATTGGACATCGAATTCGTGGTTTCTATTCGTCATTTTGGTAATCAGAAGATGTTTACTGCGGGAGGAATACAATTAGCTGTGAAGCTGTTTTAGTTTGCAGATGTCCAGCTGTGATGAGTGCCAATGCGCACCCACCTGGTTAAATAAAGGATGTGAATCACTAGAGATTGAATCTCAGTGGGTCTCTCATCTGGTTTAATAAAGGATGTGAATCACGAGAGATTGAATCTCAATGGGGCTCTCAACTGGTTAAATAAAGGATGTGAATCACTAGAGATGGTGAATCTCAGTGGGTCTCCAATGGTTAAATAAAGGATGTGAATCACTAGAGATGGTGAATCTCAGTGAGGCTCTCATCTGGTTAAATAAAGGATGTGAATCACTAGAGATGGTGAATCTCAGTGGGTCTCCAATGGTTAAATAAAGGATGTGAATCACTAGAGATGGTGAATCTCAGTGGGTCTCCAATGGTTAAATAAAGGATGTGAATCACTAGAGATGGTGAATCTCAGTGAGGCTCTCATCTGGTTAAATAAAGGATTTGAATCACGAGAGATTGAATCTCAATGGGTCTCTCATCTGGTTTAATAAAGGATGTGAGTCACTAGAGATGGTGAATCTCAGTGGGTCTCCAATGGTTAAATAAAGGATGTGAGTCACTAGAGATGGTGAATCTCAGTGGGTCTCTCATGGTTAAATAAAGGATGTGAATCACTAGAGACGCTGTCGCCTCGACAGACCTGGTTTTCACCTGAGGACGGCTGCTTGCGTTGTGGCCGAAACGTCGTGAGAATAATTTTATTATGTTTTATTTTTATTATTTTATTACTTCCCTTCTACGTGACTTTACCGAAAGAACCAAGAAGATGATGTTCTTAACTTTCCTCTACTTTACACACCCCTATCGTGCGTTTTGTGTTTTCTGTTATAACCCCGTGCCCCTAACTGGACATCTGTGAACAAAAGAGCTTTACAGCTCATCGGATTCCCCCTGAGGTGTCAAAACTGACGCCGTGGGTCGTGCACATTTCGTCCCAGCGAGCTGCCGCTAGAGGCCGCTAGAGGTGCCGCTAGAGGCCGCTGTCACACCGAGGGAGAGGGCAGAGGCTGCGGGTCCAGATCTGTCTTCTTGTGACTCGCATTCTCACTAAGACGACGCTGAACTCATCTTCTTGGTTCTTTCGGTAAAGTCACGTAGAATGGAAATAATAAAATAATAAAAATAAAACATTATAAAATAATTCTCACGACGTTTCGGCCACAACGCAAGCAGCCGTCCTCAGGTGAAGAATTGGTCTGTCGAGAAGACAAGAGTCTGAATAAAACACCCCAGGCTTGGAGCGTCTATTTAAGCTGCTGGGTTGGAGGGGGAACAGCGCCTTGACAAAATAATTGCATATCAAGAGGAATTTAGCATATTTATGGGAAATGCAGATATGGGATTAGTACAGCTTGTTAAATGCGTAGGAGGTGGGCGGGGGGTTTATGCTCTGTCTTCTCGACAGACCTGTTCTTCACCTGAGGACGACTGCTTGCGTTGTGGCCGAAACGTCGTGAGAATAATTTTATTATGTTTTATTTATTTATTTTGTTTTTTCCATTCTACGTGACTTTACCGAAAGAACCAAGAAGACGAATCCCTGCAGTCACGGAAGAAGCTTTAAATCGAAATTTAGACGCTGAACTCTGCAGCTCTTTGCTCAGAGGCGACCCTGGCAATCACAAGTGACGGCCGCAAGTGACGGCTTATCATCGTCATCATCATCACCACGTGGAGATTTACAGCGGCAGCCAAATAAATACTCTGAGCGCGTGATGTTGATTTTAAATGTGGAGGAGGGGGAAACCCGGAGGAATCAGAGACAAATCCTCCACGCGACCACGGGGGGGAGAGAGACACGCAAACTCCAAACAGACAGCAGCAGGCGTCAGGGTCCGGGATGGAACCCAGGCCCTTCTGTGCACCAGGCGAGGTCACTAACATCTCCTCGCCACCGCGGCGCCCCTTGGTGACGGCTGGATCACACTCCAGACTTATATTAAAACTGCGCTACAGACTCCTGTGTCCCAAAATCCATTCCACAATTCGCTTCGGATCTCCTTTTTAAACCACTCCAGGCTCTTATATCTGAAGCTCTGCTCCAGGTTTTACCTGAGGCACCCGTCTTCACCTTGGGAGCCACACTCCAGGCTCCAGTGTACCACAATACAGTCAGTATAAGCTAAAATCCACTCCGGATGTTATAAATTCACTCCACGGTCGTCTTTACGGCACTCTGCTTCAGGGTTTTCCAAGGCGTGGTCGGCTCCGCCTTTGGAGTGGACTCCAGGCTCCAGTATAGGGGACTCCATTCCGGATCTTCCTCTAAGTAATCCCAGGGTCTCGTCACTGAAACAAAGCACCACTCCAGGCTCCTGTGCTTGAGACTCCACGCCAGGTTGTTGTACGCGGCATTTCGCGCATGGAACAAAGCTCCGCACTGCATCCTCTCGATAATGAGCCTCCAGGCTCTAATGTATGCGACTCCATTCCTGGTTTTCCTATAAAAAATACTCCAGGTTCCTGTGTATGATACGCCGCTCCAGACTCCTGTGTTATAGCACGCCACTCCGGGTTTATGTGTGTGGATTACCACTCCTGGTCTCAATGTGTGGGGAGCGGTTATCTGAACCGGACCTGGGCCTCCCCTAGGTCGACTTGGCCTCAAACGAGTACAGCACCTGGTGCGGTGTGTAAACATCGCGAGTCGGGGAGGCAAAGGCGGCCGGGCGTGGTGCTGGCCACCCACCAATTCGTGTGCCACAGTGCCGGCCTTCATAGGTGCTGCTGCTGCTCCCCTAATAACAGCACTTGTCCCAGCAATCTGTTACAGCCTTACGAAAATAGACTCCATACTCCTATGTGTAAAACTCCACTCCTGGTTTCACATTAAAATAATTCCAGGCTCCTCTATTAAATACTCCACTCCGGGCACACGCTAAAAACAGAGTTCCAGGCTCCTGTGTGAGACTCCACTCCGGGTACTCGCCACGACGACAAATCCCGGGCTCCTGTACGGAATACACCACCTCGGACACTCGCTGCTACAAAACCATTCCAGGCTCCTGCCTGAAAGACTCCACTCCGGGCAGTCGCTAAAATAAGAGAGTTCCAGGCTCCTGCCTGTGAGACTCCACTCCGGGTACTCGCTGCTGCTACAAAACCATTCCAGGCTCCTGCCTGTGAGACTCCACTCCGGGTTCGCCGGTGTAGAAGAAATCCGACTCCGGGTTTCCCCCCCGCCGCTCCCCGAAGACTTCCCCGGCTCCGCCTCGTTGCGAGGAGCGGCGGCGGCAGCGGCGGCGGCAGCGGCGGAGTGGATCGGGAAGACCTCGTGGAGATCTCGCTCTCGCGTTCGTCCCTTGAATCGTGACACACAGACACAGATACACAGACACTCACACACAGACACACACACAGACAGACATACACAGACAGACATACACACACAGACACACACACACACAGACAGACACCCACACACAGACAGACATACACACACAGACACACACAGACACGCACACACACAGACAGACACACAGAGACACACATAGAGACACACAGACACACACAGACAGAGACACACAGACAGACACACACAGACACACAGTGACACACAGACAGACACACAGTGACACACAGTGACACACACACACACAGACACACACAGTGACACACACACAGACACACAGTGACACACACACAGACACACACGACGAAGGGTGACGCTGGAGAGAGTTTGCGAGCGACCTGAGCGAGGTCGATGGATCCGGGCCCCTGTCCGCCACGTGGCCTTGCTGCTGCTGCTGTGACGTCACAGCAGCAGCAGCCGTCATTGTCTATCCGCTGCTGGATGAAGGCCTCCTGCGTGTGTAGCCGAACTTCTTTCGCGCCGTACGTAGCCAAGAGGCGCTGATCGGAGGCGCGAAATCCACGCGACCACCCCGGGGGTTAAACTTGACGCCTCGTACAGTAGTGGTGGTAGTGGTGGTGGTTATTGGTGGTGGTGTTGGTGGTGGTAGTGGTGGTGGTGTTGGTGGTGGTAGTGGTGGTGGTGTTCGTGGTGGTGGTAGTGGTGGTGGTAGTGGTGGTGGTGTTGGTGGTGGTGGTAGTGGTGGTAGTGGTGGTGTTGGTGGTGGTGGTGGTGGTGGTGTTGGTGGTGGTAGTGGTGGTGGTGTTGGTGGTGGTGGTGTTAGTGGTGGTGGTAGTGGTGGTGTTAGTGGTGGTAGTAGTGGTAGTGGTGGTGGTTAGTGGTGGTGTTGGTGGTGGTAGTGGTGGTGTTGGTGGTTAGTGGTGGTGGTGGTGTTGGTGGTGGTAGTGGTGGTGGTTAGTGGTGGTGGTGGTTAGTCTGGTGGTGGTTGTGGTAATTAGTAGTGGTGGTGGTAGTGGTGGTAGTAGCGGTGGTGGTGGTAGTGGTAGTGATGGTAGTGGTGGTGGTGGTAGTGGTGGTTAGTGTTGGTGGTGGTTAGTGGTGGTGGTAGTGGTGGTGGTGGTTAGTGGTGGTGGTGCTGGTGTTAGTAGTGGTAGTGGTGGTGTTGGTAGTGATGGTGGTTAGTGGTGGTGGTGGTAGTAGTGGTGGTTAGTGTGGTGGTGTTTGTGGTAATTAGTGGTGGTGGTGTTAGTATTGGTAGTGGTGGTGGTGGTGTTAGTAGTGGTGGTGGTAGTGGTGGTGGTTGTGGTAATTAGTGGTGGTAGTAGTGGTGGTGGGACGTCTGCCGGCCTTTGGCTGCGATTCCGTGCCAAGTCTCGACCATCAACCACTGCCAGCGGCACGCAGAGTGACGACTTCTTCTCATCGGCCCCCTTCTTTGTGTTCCACCATTGCAGTTTTGTCGTGAACATCCAAAATAAAACCCTGAAGGGAACCACAAACAACAACAACAACACACGAACCCCAAAGAAGAGTCCGCGGAACTAAACGTCGCGGAACTAAACGTCGGAGAACTAGCTTCGAGAGAAGATGGACGCGGAATACGCTCAAGCCACGGAGTCCATCGAGATGAACGAGTCACCCAAGAACGGTAAGCGAATCCCGGCCTGGTAACGTGGAATGTCCGTCTGCCCCACGACCAGGGTGGCAATCCGCCGCTGCTGCCCCATGCGTGACCTTCCGCCGTGCTGTTGGGTCATTGGGGGGATTGTTTTGACCATACTTCACCGCGCTGGTCAATGAGGTGTTGCTGGGTTGAGTGGTCTTCATCTTCATCATCTTCTTCATCATCGTCGCGATCCATGGGGCAGAGAGCCCCGAGGAGGAGTCCACTACACACTGCGTCATTTGTTTGTTTACACTTCACTCGCTGTCGTAGTGCCAGTGTGCTCAAGTAGTGCACATCGTGGTAGTGTAGTGTATAGTGTAGTGTATAGTAGTGTAGTGTATAGTGGTGTAGTGTATAGTGTAGTGTATAATGTAGTGTATAGTAGTGTAGTCTATAGTAGTGTAGTGTGTATAGTGTAGTGTATAATCGTGTAGTGTAGAGTGTATAATAATGTAATGTATAGTGTAGTGTATAATAATGTAGTGTATAAGAGTGTAGTGTATAATGTAGTGTATATTGTGTAGTGTATAATGTGTATAATAGTGTAGTGTATAGTAGTGTATAGTGTATAATGTAGTGTATATAGTGTAGTGTATAATGTAGTGTATAATAGTGTAGTGTATAGTAGTGTAGTGTATAGTGTATAATGTAGTGTATAATCGTGTAGTGTATAGTGTATAGTAATGTAGTGTATAGTATAGTGTATAATAATGTAGTGTATAAGAGTGTAGTGTATAGTGTATAATAGTGTAGTGTATAAGAGTGTAGTGTGTAGTGCATCATAATCATCACGACGGTCCATGAATGGGCAAATATCCCGTAGCACACCAAGTCATGAGCCTCCACGTGCCTCTCTTGCCGCGTCGTGCCAGTCTGCTGAAGTCGTGGCCACTCGCGTCTCGTGCCATCGTGTTCTGAACAACAACCACCACCACCACACACTTTAAGATGTTCTACTGTTGTCCATCTTACTACTTATGCGTGTGTGTCCATGAGCTCCACTTCCCATCACCGCATCACCACCACCATCAGCCTTGTCTCTGACTTCTACGTTGAGGAATTCTGTGAATCCAGCTTAGACGCAGCAGCAGCAGTAACCCCGTGGCACTCCAGTGAACATTTCGAGTGTCAATGTCTTATTCTCGGTCAGTCTTTAGCTTCTTGTTAATGGCCCGAGTTTCGCAGAGACACACACACAGAGCCATCATCACCACCACCACTCGTTCTGTCTTTGCAGTCGTCTTGTGTGCCCGTAGACTTCACATGTTTCACAAGAGACGGTCCTTAACATTCACGATCTTACCGCGTTTCGATTAATCTCTTTTTTCTCACTGCCCTCTCTACCACGCCAATTCTCACTCCTGCATCCTTTGCCATTTGTGTGGTAGTATATAACGTAGAGTACAACAATGGATGTTACGGCCTTGCTGTGGTCGTAACCCACGTGTGTACTGTCAGCAGGATTGTTGGACAGGATTTCAATGTCCTTGTACGCGACTTTGTGATTGGTTTTTATATAGAAGAAAACGTTACAGGGGAGGGTCGATAAATGTGGTACTAGTTTGTTGGGGAACTGGATATGGGATAAAAATCCCAAAGAGCAACTCTCCCTGTGAAAGACAAACTTGTGTGCAATAATACTACGACTTTCATCTGGAGCTTTCGTGACCGCTGGTTATCCATCATCTTTGGTTCTTTCGTTAAAGCCACGTGGGTAGAAGTACAATAGATGACGACGTTTCGATCGCCACACAAGCAATCGTCAGGTGGGGGCCGTTCTCCCTACGCGACACGACAACTTTAATTGTCTACAGCGTCATGCACGCTGGAAGCGTCCCAATACGCTGCACATGAATTATTCATCTTCTTGGTTCTTTCGGTAAAGTCACGTAGAAGGGAAATATAAAATAATAAATATAAAACACAATAAAATACAATTCTCACGACGTTTCCGCCACAACGCAAGCAGCCATCTTCAGGTGAAGAACAGGGCTGTCGGAAAGACAGCGTCTGAATGAACACCACCAAGCTTGGCAGCGTATATTTAAGCTGGGTTAGGGGAGGAAGAGCGCCTTGACAAATGAATTTGCATATCAACAGAGGAATTTAGCATATTTATGGAAAATGCAGATATGGGATTAGTCACTACTTGTGGAATGTGTGGGGGGGGGGGGGTCTCAAAGTCATATTATGCTCGTGTATTATGTAGGATTAGCAGTAATAAAGGGAGGAAATAGAATTAGCAGTAATACAAAAAAATTAATGATTGTATTCATACCAAACCGAAACCCATAAAACAGCCACTCCCAAACAAAACCCAACCTTGATCAACAACAACAGCAACGCTACCACGTGTGTGTGTGTACACCACGTGTGTGTGTACACCACGCGTGCGGCAGTAGCGACCTCCTCTAGGTCCACTCGGACTTAAATTAGTACCCGTAGTCCACCGCTGGTACGGTGCGTTAATAAAACCCACATCAGCACTGGGGAGACAAAGGCGGCCGGGCGTGTGGTGCTGGCCCCCAACCCACTCACGAAGGACCTCGTGTGCCGGGACAGCCTCGTTAGGTGCTCGCTGACAGCACTTCTCCCAGCAGTCTGGGCAAGCTATATGGGGGATCTTTGTCTTTGTGTGTGTGTGTGTGCTCGCTAACAGCACTTGTCCCAGCAGTCTGGGCAAGCTATATGGGGGATCTTTGTCTTTGTGTGGTTGTGTGTTTGTGCTTGCTGACAGCACTTCTCCCAGCAGTCTGGACAAGCTATATGGGGGATCTTTGTCTTTGTGTGTGTGTGTGTGCTTGCTAACAGCACTTGTCCCAGCAGTCTGGGCAAGCTATATGGGGGATCTTTGTCTTTGTGTGGTTGTGTGTGTGTGCTTGCTGACAGCACTTCTCCCAGCAGTCTGGGCAAGCTATATGGGGGATCTTTGTCTTTGTGTGGTTGTGTGTGTGTGCTTGCTAACAGCACTTGTCCCAGCAGTCTGGACAGGCTACATGGGGGATCTTTGTAACTTCAATGGCACCGTGCACACGTGTTTAGATTAGCACGGTTGGCTGCGTACGGTGCAGAAGAAGTCCAACTTATCCACATACACGTGATCAGTGCTCGTACCGTGGTGGGTAGGGATGTGATGATGCGTTGTGACGTCATTTGTTGTTGCTTTTGTAGGGGTTATTACGGGAGAAACGGCGGACAACAAACACAGGGCTGTCGGCACTCACATACACGGGGGGTCACACCGACGTCCGCATCAGTTATTGCCCACGCCCCCAGCCCTCGGAGGCGATCCCTATAAAAGGTGGAACCCAAAGAGCTCGAGGCAGTTCGACACGAAGCTGACCAGTGAAGATCCAAGACTCGGAGATTAGGCCCTGGGACTCCCCGGTCTCGCCGTCCTTATAAGGGCCGAGCCGGGTAAGCCAGTGGCGCGGCCCAAGAGCTTCCAGACCGCTGCCCTTATCAGGGCAAGGCTGGTTAGCTGGTGCCGAGATCTGTGCTTGCCAGGGCCAGATCAGTCAGCCTCCCGTAGCCCAGTAGAGGAGGACTGGGGGACAGGACAGAGGGCTTAGTACTAGGGTGGGTTTCCCATAGTACGGGTGAAGGGGCCGATACCCCTTCAACTATTGTATCTGTCCCGGAGTTAATAAACAGTGTGTCTCAACTTCCTCATCGTCTCCTCATCAACTTACTACATCTGGTGTTGGAAGTGGTCCAAGCATGGATACGAGACGGAAGACTCGTGCCCAAGACCCAGGAGAGGATGACGACGAGGGAGGGGCAGTGCAAGACATCGCCGCCGACGTACCTGCACAACTGCTGCCGGCTCCGACATCGGCGGGGCCGTCGGAGAGGGCCGGGACGTCGACTGACGAGTTGGCGTTGGCTCACTCGCGGCTGGCGGAGCTCTTGTATGCAGCGGCCGCTATGCTGGAACAAATAACTCGCCTGGGGCCGGGAGGAGCGACGCGGCGGGAAGATGGACAACGCCCGCCAGAAACTCCCGCCTTTACAACAGCGGGGCGACTCGAAAATCCCGCCACGAAGACAGTAGGGGCGGAGGGAGGAGTCCCAGCTCGTCACGCGGGAGACGGTGCCCAGCCAGCAGCCGCCACGTCATCGGCGGAGGCGGGTCGCGGTGGCAGCCTATCAGGGGTTGAAACGTCACCACCAGCTGACGCCAGCACCGACCATACAGTACGGGGACGCGCTACGGATGCTGCAAGAGACGCTGCAAGAGGATCGGAGACGGAGCCGACATTCCAGCAACGCCTGCCGGCCCTGCAGGTATTTGTTGCAAGCGACGGCGATTGGGGGGGGTTCCAGCGCCGGTTCTTGGCCCACCAAGAGATGGCAGGCTGGTCGGACAACGAGGCGCTGTGTGCTCTCCCGGCGTTATTGGACGGCGACGCCCTGGGCACCCTCACTGCTGCACCCAAGTCGGCACGCTCCACCATTCAGTCGGCGCTGCAGCTGCTGGCCACCGTTTATGGGCCGCCCTCCGATTGTCGCCAGCTCTTCTATGAACGGCAGAAGGGTGATAAGGAATCGCCACTCGCTTATCGCACGGCCCTGCTGTCATTGGCGAAAGACGCTTTCCCGCGTATGGATGAAGAGGGGATCGATGCGATGGTGGCCGAGAAAATTTTGCTGCTGGCTGACGATCTGGACTTCACCATCTTAGCGCAGGACGATGCGGATATGTCATCACTGCGGGCTGCAAGGCACATTCACGCCAATCTCATCTCCCAGCGGAGGAAGGCGAACAAAGCTGCTGCACGACACACCGTGGCGGCAACCTCTTCTGGAATGGAGGGAGCCTTCGCTGCGGATCGTTCTGCAGGATGGCGATCTGCCGAGCGACCGGCTCGGGACGTTCCAAGCCACCGAGACCAGCCCAAGTCCTCTGGAACGCTCGTCGTCTGCTATAATTGTGGCCTCCGGGGCCACGTGGCGTCCGGATGCCGGGCTCCTCGACAGCG